TCTTCCAACAAGAACTTATTACACGCTACCTTAGAGGGATCTTCTGCATTCGAGCAGTGGTAGCGGTAATCATAGTACGAGCCCGGAGCCGGATTCTTCAAAACGAACTCTGGGGCGTCAGACGACAAAGCCTCCGGTGCGTCGAGCAAAACTTCGTCAGACTCAGCAACCGGATGGGCTTGAACAAGCATGTCTCGCACCAGCTGTTGGACCATCTTGGCCGGAACGGCTGATCTGTTCCGCGCGTACTTTAAAACGATTCTTCCAGTTTGCCTGGAGGCCTATTTCTTCGGTAGACCTCCCTGCATGGACCGCTGCGTCCAAAAGTGTAACCCGAGCGGAATGGCCGGACAGCTTGTTGATTTGCTGAGCAGCCAAAACAATGGACTCCTTAGATCCCTTGCCGTAGGAATTCAAGGCATCTCGTGCCAGGACTTTCAGCCACTGAACCGAGCGGGTGTAGTCGGGCGGACCGGCACGGAACTCAGTACGAGAATTTAAATCGGAAATCCAAAAATCTCGATCGAGTCCGGTTGCCTGCAAAAGATCCCACCCTTCCTGGACCCACAAAAAACCCGAGAATCCTACAAGAGGGATAACGAACTTGGTGCCTCTACGCTTCCTTTCAACCTTGGTTTGCCACGAGACCCCAAACAAACCAACATCATTGAGCACCAACTCCCGGGGGGCAACGTGAACACCATCATCAAACCTAAGGGAAGCGTACACTAGACACAACCACCACCAAATGAACAGGCGTGCCTGATCAGGTGATTCGGACGCTACGAATACCTCGAGGCATCGAACGACCTCGATCGGAATTGGAACCGCCTCTTTGAGCGACTTGGCTCGTTTCGTCACGACCTCCTTCTGCAATGCGAGCAGCTGCGGATCATCAAGATCAAGGCATTGAATCGCCAGTCTTCCCGTGACCCAGCGCAACGACGATCGCAAAGAAGGGATGACTGTCGGTCCACAGTCCCGAGCGTCCAAATCTAAAGCATACTTCAAAACTTTTTCGAGCGACAGGGGGAAAACAGGGAGCGACTTCGACACGACCCACAACTCGAACCTGTCCCAGGCACCTATATGGGCCTTCATGGTTCGGTGAGCCCCAGAGCTTAGAACTAGGTAGCGAAGCTTGGTGGCCTCAGTAGTAGTGAGCTCATCGTTCTCACCCCCTTGGTGAAAAAGCTTTGAGTGAGGCCCCGCCTTCTTTCCGATCTCTTCCAACCGAGCGGCCCCGCCCTCTTTCCGATCTCTTCCAACCGAGCGGCCCACTTGCGTCGCTCCGCCTGTTCAAAGTCTAAGAGCGGTGTTGGGCCGAGCGGCGCATCAGGATCTTTCTTGAGCCGCTTTGGATCCCGAGCTGGCTTCTGGAGGACGGCCTTGAAGATGGCCGCTTGTTTCCTGATCGAAGCTTCCTCAGCGAGCACTCTATGCGCCTGAGCGGGTTCTAAAGCCCAAACCCCAGCTGCACAGACGTAGATTCAAAGAAAAGCTTCTCGATCGAAACTGCAACCCCCCAAAATTGCTCGAGCGTGGCAGGTTCTTTCAACAGAGCTTGCACGACCTCCGGAGGCATGGTGGATGCCCAATCCGAGACCTTCTGAACAAACTCGTGCCCTGAGCTCACTTCCATGGTCTTGATGAGCGCCAGATTCGCGAGCGGCGAAGCGACCTGCGCCTTCGAAAAATCATCCGAGAACACCGGTAGGGCAAGAACCTTCGAGACCCACCTATCTACCGTCTGAGCCATCGCGCTGCGCGGTCCCATCGCTGGGATCCCGGAGCGACTCACGAACCACTTCACTCTGAGGACTCCCACCTCGAATTGCCGCGTGAACAGCGTGACAGGCATCAGTGAACGTAGACATGTGCGACGATCGTTCCAGGTCAAATTGAACAAATTTGATTTCTTTGAAGGTCAAATCCAAGATAAAAACGTGACTTGTTGAACAACATCTCAAACGTGATCCATTGAGGCTTGACACAAATGAACGACTGCAAGCATCAGAGTGTGGCTATAGAGTGAACACCAGAACTGGCTGCATACTAATAGTTAGAACCAGCTCACGTGAACACGTCATGCCTTCACTCTGAGCTCCCGATACTGCACAGGCTAGGGTTGAACCTGCAGTGCACGATCGTCGACTCGAACGAGGAGTTAGGGGCCCTCAATCACACTGCACGAGCGAGTGGACAGAAGAACGAAACCCCCTGCAAACCCTCAGCCCGAGCGGACGACTGTGCAAACTTTTCTACTGGATCGAAAAGTCCTGTATAGTTCGACTCATGATCAACGGTCAAAGATTCCTTCGACCAGTGCTGAGCATCCCATGGCTCAGTTCCGATCAGGCCGAATGAGCCTGGGCGGCCTCACCCGCCTGGCCTGCTGAACGAAGGCCTCTAGCGTCACAGCTGCATCAGCGATCACCTCTCCACGCCTCTGTTCCAGCGAGCGCCTCTGAGCGAGAATCTGCTGCACTGTTGGATCCGTGCTGGCCGTCGCTGCGACCTCCCCCGGAGCGGTCAATGACACTTCACTCTTGCGTGCCATCTCGAACGAGGGACCATAGCCGCTGTTCTGACCGGCGGATCTCTGATTAGCTCCCACTTGCTCTGCGCGATCGCCACTGCCGGAGCCCCATGGTTGGCGGCAAAATCATGGTCGCCGATTCAGTTGCCGGATCATGGTACTGGATCCAGCGCAATGGTCTCTTTCGGCGCGATCTTCTTTTCCATCTTCAAGAGCGGACTCTCGCACGTCAAGCGGAGGTTGTCAGCGTGGGATCCCACGTCAACTGCTCCAATGCGCGCGCCCGTCTCTTCGATCGAAGAGGCCGTGACCTCAGAGGTCCAGTGGGCGTGGATGCCTGCGATCTGCACCATCTGCGTTGTCTGATCAGGGCTCTCGATCCTGGCAAAATTCTCTCTGCACCAGCGCGCGTTGCGCACCAAAGTCGGTCCAGGTCCAGAGACTCGAGACACCACCATCCAGGAGGATGGAACCGCGATCGTCGAGCAGGCTACGTCCAATCGATCCTGAGCTGAGCAGAATCGGAACTCCACTCTATCAGCGTCATGACCGAACGCGTCTGCCGATGAGACACTCGTGAGCCTCACTTCAAAGTGGCAGAGCGGAAAATCCAGAGCGACCACTTGGCCTCCTTCACTGCAAGCGTAAAGTTGGCCACCCACCTCGAACGAGATCGCGCACACCCTCCAGCCTTGGAAGACCGTCACGGTGCAGGAGGGGATGAACAGCACCTCCTCGAGCCCCATGACCAGGGCGTCATTCACGTAGTTCACCTGAACAATTGCGTCCCGATCGGAACGATAGCCCCTCAATTCAAGGTGGAGGAGAAGGGCTCCTTCGATCTTGAACTTGACGTCGATCCAAGTCAAACTGTCGTCCCTCATGAGCGGCCACCTAAATGGCTGAAAAGCCTTGTGCGAGAGCACATCCCCCGTGAAGCTGTCCCACCTGCCGCATGGGATGGAGCCATATGAGGTCATTGAACCCACCACGATGAGCTTCTTCCCTTCGAGCGCGCGCATGTAGAAGAGCGACAAGTGGTATCCCGTAGACGGACTCCTGATCAACCTGGCATCGGACAAAATATTGACGCCAGCCTGGGCGTTGACCGATAATCTCGTCTAGGAGCCAGCCTTGGAATGGGGATGTGATCCTCTGGTCACGAGTGTCCACCACAAGCACTGAGCGCTCCCCCTCTCCAGAACCTACCTGCCTCAAGTATGGCGGGCAAGCTAGTTCGAAGAGCGTTGTGAACACCTCCCATCTGGCCGAACCTCAATGCTCGGGCTCCTTTGCGAGCTGCTCGCTCTTGTTGCTTTCTGAGCTTCCTCGAACCATATTGCAGGTTGACCCCTGCCACTAGGTTCTGAGCTGCTTGGGTTGCTGGAGCCGCTGTCGATGAGCCCTGCACTGGACCCCCTGTTGGGGGAGGGGGTGGTGGAGCTTTGCTCTGTGCTGGAGCGGTTGGAGTCTGATCAGGCTGTGCCGGTTGCTTGTTGTGTGAGGAGCTGGAGGCACCTGGGTGTTCTGCCTGATCAGGCTTGTCAGCCTGTGATCGTGTCTCAGCTGACACTTTGTTGTCAAGATCAACCTCTCGAACAGTTGGGAGCTCGAGGTCTGCTGGAGGAAGATCATCATCATCATCGTCATGGTCCTGAACAGGCGTCTGAACTTGCTGCCAGCTTCCCCAACTGACATTGCTCACACTATCTTCTGGCCGAACGGCCCTTGAGGCAGCCATGGCCTGTTGGCGAGCAAAAGGGAAAGCCATCTCCTCAGAACCTGTGTGATCCCCAGGCCCTCAGACAAAGAACGAAAAATCTGAAAGCCTGGGTGATCACCCTTCTCGCCAAAATGGCATCGGCGATGTGATCACATCAACTTATGAAAGATAACGATAGTTAAGAAAGGTGATCTGAACCGCAGTAGAAGAGTGACCCCTGTATCCCAGACCTACCTAACCAAAGATACAGAACCCGCTTCTAGTAACAAGTGCCTTACTAGTAGTAACAAGAAGCTATTAGAAACAAGGTTCGCTACTAGGAACAAGTGCATCGCTTCTAGTAACAAGTGCCTTACTAGTAGTAACAAGAAGCTATTAGAAACAA